CCCCTCCCCCCTACCCCCCCCCCCGGCCCTTTTATCCCATGTGATTTTTTCGATTTACCTAAATGGTCCCTTTAAGGGATCGTTTGGAAGGTGTATTAGTAATGCAGGGACTAGTAATGCATGGGTTAGTAATGCAAGCATTAGTTATGCGGAAATTAGTTCTTATACACTGTTTTGGTGTGTTAAAAACTAAAAAGCATTACATAATTTTAAAAAATAAAAAATAGTTGTTTACAAAAATGCCCTCTATATTCTTTAGCTTTAAGGGACTTTAAGAATAATTTTGTCTTTAATCATGCTAATGCATGTATTAATATCCTTGGTATTACTAATACCATGGTTTGCTATGCATTAGCTATACATAGGGTAATGCCAAATAGAATGTACAACTAATGCTTGTATTAGTTATACATAGGTTGAAAAAGTGTACCAAACAAGATATTACTATGACACAAAGCTAATGCATGCATTATTTCCTCTCATGCACTCTACCAAACGACCTCTAAGTTGTCCCCAACGATCAAAACAACACTTCAACTGACCCTTTTGCCATTTAGACACTTCAAGAGGCAATTAAGTGTGTCAAGTAAACACCGAGCCCAGCAAAATATATGTGTGAGTTACACTTGCTAGCATTGGCGGAACCAGAATTTTCACCAAGGGGTGTCAAAACATAAAAAATTTGATATACATAAAAAAGTCAAGGGGTCAACATATAATAAATAAACATAGAAAAAGAATTATCTAGCAATACAGTGTAACTTTTCAGCGAAGGGATGTCGATTGACACCGCGTGATTGAATGTGGCACCGCCGCTGCTTGCTAGTGATGTATTAAATGAACCAATTAAAGAATGACACATATAAATTATAATAAATATTTGACACATATAATTAACAAAAAAATACATTTAAAGAAAAAAAAGAACCCCCCCCCCCCAAAAAAAAAAAACATATTCTTGCTTTCCCCATCTGCGTCCCCCATTTTCTCAAATCAATCCCAAAATATTATAAGCAACTAGAATTGGCTACACTTTGAGGAGTAAGGACTATGTGTAGGTTGTGATTCTTTAAACTCAATATCAGAAATTTCTTCTTCTTCAACAGACTCCGAACAAAGCCAGCATCAGTCGTCGACCAGACTTCTTCGAGCATACTTCGAACAAACCCAAATTTTTGGAACAGACCCATCTTCTTCACCGACCTAGAAATCTCATCTTCTTCGAACAGACCCGATCATCATCTTCTTCGAAAATTTCGAACCAAAGCCTATCGAAACAACTGCAATCGACCTTAATCTGTAAATTCCGCTTGACAAATAAGCTTTCAACAAAGATTTTGAACGTTTAATCGATTCGAACTCCAATTATCAGATAAAAACAACTCAGCTTCTTCCATAATGTTGAG